TGAGGGGAACGGTCGACCGTTTGTGGAGCAGTAGCAGACGGAACGATTTGAGAACTGTGCGGTGCCGGACCCTGTGAGCCTGGTCTGGGAGGAAAGATGGGAATGATGCCTAAAGGGTTAGAGGAGGCTGGGGTAGATAGAAGTTTAGAGTAGGGAAACTGATCTTCTACAAAACGAACATGACGGGAGACATACGTTTTCTGAGAAATAGGATCATAACACTTGTAACCTTTCATGGTGGGATGATAACCTAGGAAAATGCAGGGGGTGGAACGTGGTTGAAGCTTGTGATGTGTGTGAGGACGAAGCCAGGGATACACAAGACAACCAAAAGGACGAAGGTGAACATAATCCGGAGACCGACCATAGAGGGCTTCAAAGGGGCATTGGTTATTTAGGGTGGATGTGGGTAGGCGATTTATAAGGTAGTTGGCGGTAGCAAGTGCTTCAACCCAAAAAAGAGACAGGAAGGTGGGAATCGTAGAGTAAAGCAATGACAGTCTCAATGAGATGCCGATGCTTGCGTTCAGCCACACCATTCTGTTCAGGAGTGTAAGGGCAGGACGTGTGATGCAGAATCCCAAGATTTTGAAGAAAAATGCCAAAGGTTGTATTTACAAATTCTTTCCCATTATCACTTCTTAAAATCTGAATATTTGAATTAAATTGAGTTTTAACCATTTTTTCAAAACTAGTGAAAACAGAGTAAGCTTCAGATTTGTGTTTAAGAGGATAAATCCAAGTAAATTTACTAAAATCATCAACAAAGCAGATATAGAAACGAAAACCAGAGATAGATGGAACGGAGGTTGGTCCCCAAACATCAGAATGAATTAGTTGAAAAGGCGCTGTGGCCTTATGTTCAGAGAGTTCAAAGGATAAACGACAAGACTTAGACACATGACAGGACTCAAAATGTAAGTGATCAGAAAATTTAAACCCTAAAGTAGACAAAATAGACTTGGCAACAGCAGGAGCCGGATGTCCAAGCCGGCGATGCCAGGTGGATGCAGTGACAGCTTGACGCACAACAGGGATAGGCTTGGAAGGAAGGGTATAGAGACCATGCTCACAGGGGCCCGTGTACCACACCAGATTCGTATCGTTGTCCACTATCTGAAAGGAGTTGGCATTAAAAACAAGAGTGCAATTATTATCTTTGGTAAAGCGGTGAACGGACAGTAAGTTTGAAGTAAGGGAGGGAACATGATTAAGGGAGTGGAGGTGAAATTTACCATTCGGGGTGTGAATTGAGCCTGAACCTGTGTGAGTGATGGGTAAAGTATGACCATTACCTACAGTAATAGTTTCAGTGCCATGGTAGGGAGTCGGAGTTTGCAGCTGTGAAAGATCATGCGTAACATGAGTATTAGCACCTGTATCAAGGTACCAATCACCAGTTTGGTTGCTTGTGGTTGCATGCATAGCACGAGAATNGGCATTAAAAACAAGAGTGCAATTATTATCTTTGGTAAAGCGGTGAACGGACAGTAAGTTTGAAGTAAGGGAGGGAACATGATTAAGGGAGTGGAGGTGAAATTTACCATTCGGGGTGTGAATTGAGCCTGAACCTGTGTGAGTGATGGGTAAAGTATGACCATTACCTACAGTAATAGTTTCAGTGCCATGGTTGGGAGTCGGAGTTTGCAGCTGTGAAAGATCATGCGTAACATGAGTATTAGCACCTGTATCAAGATACCAATCACCAGTTTGGTTGCTTGTGGTTGCATTCATAGCACGAGAATTGGTAGCCGAGTTGCTCTCAGTAGAAGAATCATCATAGCGGTACCAGCAGGTAGCAGCAGAGTGGCCACGCTTTGAACAGATCTGACATACTGGAAGATCGCGTGAAGGTCCGCGGCCTCCCCCCCTTCCGTAGCTTCGACTGCTGCGACCGGATCCAGATCCTCGCCCAGAAAACGGTCGACTGTTCGGTCCTCCTCGACCGCTGTTTGTATACAGTGCAGAGTGAGAAACTCCGGAGGCGGAATCTGCAATACTCAATTTTTGCTCGATTTCAAGATTTATTTCTTCAGAGGTTAGCCACCCAGAGAGTTGATTGAGACTTATATTCTCATTGTTCATCCTTATATTTTGCTTGAAGGAGGAGTATTCATGAGGGAGGCCTCAGATAACAGCATTCACCACATCTCTCTCAGGAATAACCTCGTTGAGAGCATCCAAATTGGTGAGGATAGTGGCAACTTCATCAAGGTACTGGGTGATAGTTTTTGTACCTTTTCGGAGTGTGTGAAGTTTGTCCCGTAGTTGATAGATGTGAGCGGTAGAAACAGAATTATACCGGGCAGCGAGAGCGTTCCATAGATCGGCAGATGTGGTGAAGTTGTGGACATGCTTGTGAACAGACGGACTGATGACGGCAAGAAGGCATGCACGGATCTGAGTATCAATCACAATCCATGTTTGGAATTCTGGGTTAGGGTTTTCCTTGCCATCCTTGGATAGGATTTTTGGAGGCGCAGCTTCATGACCATCGATCCAACCAAGAAGAAGGTTGGCCTCGAGAGCAGTTTTGACATTGAGAGACCACGCAGGATAATTTGAATCGGTGAGCTTCTCTGGGATAAGATTATGGAGATTGCGGAGAAGAAGCTTGACGCCAGAAGGAAGCGAAGCAAGCGGATCTGAAGATTGAGCCATGGTTGCCGTTTATGGTCGAACGGCGAGAGGAAGGAGACCGGCGGTGAAGGCACAGTCTCGAAAAAAAGGGCTAGGGTTTAAACCTAGGCTCTGATACCATGATACAATTTGATAATAATTTGTCTTATTGAATATTGAAAGATATGTTCCTATATATAGGGATTACAAGAGAGAGAGTCCTATTCCTAGTAGGAAAGGAATAAAGTAATTATGGTAATACAAGAATAAGGAAACTAAATAATATTAGGAGTCTTCCTATTATCTTTCATAGAAGTCACCCAACATCTCCTCTTGGAAAAAAGAGACAATGATTCCAAGATCCATTTGATAGTATCCATATCAAACCACATTTGATAATTTCTAAATCCATAATCAGAGATACAGACATTGTTGTTGTAGTATGAATGAAAAAACTCAAATACCTTAATTTGTGTCTTGAATTTGAATCTGAGATTTTTGCTGGCTTTTGAAATTGTGTTTTCGGCTTCATATCTGTTGCATACTATTCTGGAATCACTTAAAACGTATGAATCTTTCTTGTCCTTAGTGTCAGAATCTCTGAATGGCCATCTTCAACCTCGAGTTGGGGACTCCCTTTGTTGATGATAGTAGATCTCCCTAATGTTGGTTGATTGCAGGTAAGGTCTTGAGTGAAACCCAAACTTGTTCGTATTATGAATGATATAGCTATAATAAGGGAGCTTATTTGGCCTGCGCGAGAGATATGTTCATCGGAATTTAGGAACTCCATTATCGCCGCTCCTCCTCCTCTCTAGAAACGCAGCCATCATATATATATATAGAAACACACATCTCTCATCACCAGTCTCAACAAAATGATGGCAAATTTCTTATGGGGCAGTAGGGAGACAAAGAACAAACATCACTGGAGGAAATGGGCAGACCTTTGTTACTCCCTGGAGGAAGCAGGCCTTGGGTTCAGGAGCATTGAAGATCTTCAGGCAGCTGCTGCACTTCAAATGTGGTGGAAAGTACAACAAGGAGGTACTATCTGGAGTAACTACATGAGGCAGAAATATTTGAGAAATGGAGATTTCAGAGCCAAGATTTATGACTCTTGTTCAAGGAAAAGGATCTGCAAAGCTGCAAGCATGGGCTTTCTTCACACCGACAACTCAGATGGGGTAACCACATGGCTTAGAGGGAGCTTTTCTTTCAAGGAGCCCTATAGAGCATGCACTATAAATAGTCCCAAGCTCATGTCTTGCTCTTTCATTTGGAGCAGGTGGCAAATCAGGAAAGTTCAGTTTTTCACCTGGAAAGCATTCAATGGTCTTCTTCCTTTCCACGAACAATTGATGAAAATGAATATCTCTCCCTCCCCTTTCCCTTTTTGCCTAGGAAACATTGCCACTCTCGATCATTGTTTACTCCACTGTCATGTGCTCCATGAAATTTGGCGAGACTATGTTATCATTAGTAATGGACCTGCTAGACGACCACTTCATAACCTCAGACAACACTTGCTAAACTGGTGGATTAATTCAAACTGAAGCTGCCTTAAAGGGAAATTCAGACTAATCCTGCCTGGCTTGTTAATATGGCACTTCGGGAAGGCCTATAACAAGTGCATTCATGATGGAAAACCTTTCTCTCCAAGCAGTGTTCGTTGTCAAATTAACAGGACCCTACAAACCTGGTGTTGGGCAAACAATGAAGATACAACTACTCTTTATTTAAATCCTATTACTAGTTTTGGTCTGCATTGTATCAACTGGGGTAAAGCTACCTAGAGCTTTCACCCTTGGCCTTTGTATTTTCATTTCTTCCTTTTTTTCAATAAAAAGCCTTTAAAAAAATATAGACACACACACACACACACACACACATATATATATTGAATATTCTTTTTTGGGTTGTCATTTTAATTATGAAAATAATTATTTTGACATAAACTATATAAAGTATATTTTTATACTTGTTTAAAATGATATTAGTTATTTTATTTGATTTAAAATTAATTTTATATTAATTTTTGGTGTCAAATAAAATACACTTTAGACATTTAAGTGGAGAAGAATTTTGAAAATCCTTCTCACAATCACAACCATATTTCTTTCGGCCATGTGATGTTAATGGGGAAAAAATTCTCTTGACTTTGCAATATAAAGACGTAGGAAATTTCCTAATTTGTCATTAAGTGTATGATTGGTTTTTAAAATCCTATTTAAATAAATATACACTATGTTCATTGTGATATAGTGAGGGTGATTCGGCCATACCATTTCAAGAGAGAGAGAGAGAGAAATATTAGTTTGGTTCCATAAATATCATTTTGTGTATAGAAAGTATCTATAATATTTTCTAAATATTATTAGAAATATTTTCTATCGAAATATACAAGATTATTATTATCCCAATTTTAATCTTAATATTTTATACTACTATAATCTTTACTAGCATAACGAATGTGGTAGACTCCGGTGTTCGTGTGTCAAAATTGGAGACCGGACGCTTGAACGGTTACATTTGCACTTTCAACGCTCTTCCTACGACTTCTTTGTTTTTACCACTTACGGAGAAAGGTATAAATTTCTTACTACTATATGTTTTAGTACGTGATTCTGGGTAAAATAATCATGTTAGGATGTTAAAATTTTTACATTCCGCTACCTATCCTTGCATGGTTACCTTTGAAAGGTATTTCTGAAAGTATCTCCTTCGAAGAAAGTATTGCGGTTTGGTAGGAAGGGAAAGCTGAGTCCAAGGTATATTGGACCATACCGAATCACTGAACGTGTGGGTCCAGTAGCCTACAAGTTAGAACTTTCGCCTGAACTGAACAAAATTCATGACGTATTCCATATATCAATGTTGAAAAGCTACCGTTCTGATCCATTGCATATCTTGAGTGATGAAATCGAAACTCCTGACGAACAATTGACTTATGAGGAGGAACCTATACAAATTCTGGCACGAGAGATCAAACAATTGAGAAATAAATCCATACCTCTGGTCAAAATATTATGGAGGAATCACTCAACTGAAGAGGCAACATGGGAAACCGAATAGTCAATGAGAATGCAATATCTGAATCTCTTCAATCAATGACTCATGTAATTTCGAGGACGAAATTATTTTTAAGGGGGAGATAAATGTAACGCCCCGAAAATAAGCCTATTAGAATTAATTAATTGATAATTAATTAATTGCTGAAAAGGACACAAAAAATAAGTGAATTATAAAGTTTGTCAATAATTAATGAAAATTATATCGTTGTGTAGAGTTTGACTCTCTGATCACAACGGTTCAATCGGATTCCAATTCGGATAAAGTTAGACCAAAAAGTGTACCCTGACTAGGACTGAAATTAGTCCCAATCAGGGACTACACTCCAAATGGCGCTACTATTCGAACGACGCACTAGCCGCTCCAGGGATTAACCGCAATTTCTTCAGCTGTCTTTTTCCTTCTTCTTCCTATTATATAAAAAAACCAAACTTCTTCATTTCTTCACCAAATCATCCAATATTTCTTTCTATTTTGCTGCCCTGAGAGAGAAGAACACACTGGTGCTTTGAATTTCGTGAGAGGTCGCCAGAGTTGAGAGCTTTTGTCGCCGGAAGTTTTGCCAGTCTTTCGCCGGAATCTTCGTTAATCTTCAAAGTAAGCTCATAGATATATCTAATGACTAGAATGTTCATATAGATCGTTTTTACGTTTATAAATGGTCGTTTGGTTGAGTTTTGTGTTTGGCATGCTTGAAAAACCAAAAATCATAAATCATGAAATTATTGTTAAAACTATGAATTAATGATACCAAAATGATCTATGAACATTGGAGAACATTTCTATATACTTTAATTGAACTTAAAAATCAAGTATTTATCGTTCTGCAGATTTATGGAACATAGCAGAGCAACAGTCGATTGTCAGAATGTGACAGTCGACTCTCAACCTTCTCTGAAGTTGAATAATCAACTGTCCGAATGTGATAATTGACTATCAGCCCATTCTGAACATGAGATAATCGATTATCAGAAGTGACAATCGACTATCTCCCTACACTGTTGAAGAAAATGAAGCCAGTAGCTAGTAATTGAATTTCCTATCATATATTAATCAATTATTGTTTAGAAAACATGATTTTTGAACTATGGAATACTATTTTTATTACCAACCAATTATAGTTAATATAAAGATGATCTCTTGGTATAAAAATGATGTTTGGACAACTAAGAGGACTTTACGTGATGCATGACGGTAAGCTAGAGTGTTAACACTCGACGCTAGACCGCTAATTGTTATTGAATATTATAATGATTATTGTTATGGATGACTATGATGTATTGATAATGAACCCACTGATTAAAAATGAATATAATGATGATCATGAAAACGATGTATATTGTTAAGGATATCTAGAAGAACTTTAAGATATACCCACTTGTATATTGATGATGATTATTAAGGATATCTAGAAGAACTCTAAGATATACCTCCTTGACCAATTCATAATTCGGTGTTAAAACGTACGTACGGGATCCAGAACAGATATCACCCACTCGACATATCACTGTTCGGTTGGTACGTAATCCACATGACTCATAGGGGTGGATTATCGATTCTTGTGTTCTCCCTTAGACTATTTGTAGTTTAAGAGCCTGGTTAGAAATATTGCCTTAGACTAGGATGCATAATATTCCCAATTTTACTAAAATTTTCGAGTTTTGGGTCGTCGTGAAGGTGCTAATGGTGGGTTAACGGAAGTGTCTGTTTGCGCAACAAAATAAAAGTTGGGATTATTTTTGTTAAATTCTTTTTTTTTTTAATTTTTTTGAAATCTTCATTTAAATTTTTAAAATTACTTTGTACTTCCATTTCTTCTTCTTTTTCTTAAAGATTAGTCTTACCATAAAAAATAAGAGAAATAGATTTAAATTAACGAAAATGAGAGAAATAACTAAAACCATACAAAACTAATTAAATAAATAAGGTAATCAATAGAAATTAAACTGAAACTAGTTATGAATAAAATAAGCACATATGGAAGGATGAGTTTTAACATTTTACACACTATACAGAGTCATGATGTACTACTAATATTTTGAATGAAAAGGCCAGGCGGTAAAGTTGGAATTATTCTAGATAATTTTTTCTAAAAAATAAGAAGTCGTACATTAATACTTTGTATAGTGCGTAAATTATTAAGGCCCAACACTCCATATATTTTTTATTTATTTTTACCAGTTTCAAGTTAGTTTCTATTGATTACCTTATCTTTTTTATTAATTTTGTATCGTTTAAGTTGATTTTATTATTTTCGTTATTTTTATACTCCCTCCGTACCTGAAAACCTTTATCCTTTCTTTTTTCATCCGTTCCTAAAAACACTTCTCATTTCTATTAAAAAGCCACTTTTATCCCTTACTTTTTCATACTCTACCTATCATATCATACCTTTTTACTAATAATCTATCCATCAAATCATACTTTTACCCATCACATCAAATGACATTTTTGGAAATTCAATAGCAAAATACATTCCCCTTAAATCCCTCTTCAAAATCAAAACTCACATGTTTTCCAGGACGGAGGAAGTATTTATTATTTTTATTTTTTTAAAGTAAGACAAATTTTTAAAAAAAAAATGATCGAGGTGGAAAGTAATTTTAAAAATTTAAATGAAAATTTCAAAAAAATTAAAACAAAAATGTTTCAAAAAAATCCAAACTTTTATGTTGTTGCGAAAAATAGGGTGTTTCTGTTAACCCGTCGTTTGCTATTTAACAGTTACACAAAACTCACAAATATCCATAAAATTGAAACTATTATGCATCACAGTAAAAGACGTGATTAATAAAGTTGAAATTATTCTCAATAATTTTTCCTAAGCTCCACAAAGTTGGAGCGCCTTTGACCACAAGGAGCGTATAAAGGACCATACTACATTTACACCAAAATTTGTACCTCAAACTTACACCAAAGCTATACACCAGCATTTTGGTGGTTCACACTGACAGAAAATGTTGGTGCGTTAACAAAAATTTACATCAATATAAAATATATCAATATAAAATATTGGTGTATTAACAAAAATTAGTATTACACCAATACAAAATGGTAGTGCACACCTAGAGTGTATAAATGAGGTACAACAAATAGCTTTATCCGCGAATAAATCAATTGAGCACCCCAATATTGACTACGCTAATAGTAGAAATTATAGAATTATAGAACAACCGTCTGGCCGGCCTTCCAGGCCCTCCTAGCTTAATTTATTCCATTTCACTTTAAAATCCTTTTGTGCAATCTTGACTTTATTTAATAATTTAAATAAATGAGTCCGTTAAATAAAATTTCAAAAAAAAAAGTACGCTATTACAAATTTCTATAAAGTCTAAGAAGAAAATCTTTAATCTTATACTCCCTCCGTTTGGAAAAAGTGTTCCTCTTTTGACTTTGTGTAAAAATAAGGAAGTATTAAATTGTAGTTGACTTCTAATTTTACCTTTGATGTGATATGTAAAAGTAAGATGTGATGAATAGATTATTAGAGATAAAGTATGATGTGATAGGTAGGCTATGAAAAAGTAAGGGTAAAAATGGTTTTTTAATAGAAAGTGGAAGTGTTTTGTTGGAAGTGAAAAAAATGAAAGAAGTAGATTTTTTTAATATAAAAAACTGGACGAACATGTTAATATAGGTTTTGTTTCTTTGCTAATTTGTAAATAAAATAATTTTAAAAGAGAATTTTATGAGATAATTTTTTTGGGACGGATGGATATAATAAATTTAAAACTCCAATAATATAGTTGTATATTTTTTTTGTAAAATATATGGATGTGATTGAAGAAATCATTTATATTATTATGTTCGTTTAATATTGGAAACATGAATAGAAGATCTCTTCTTTTCTCCTTATTAAATACGGAGTACTCGCTAACAAAACTAATTTTTTTTTAGGAAAAAAAAACCTAAATATAACTAAAACATATCAAATATAGAGTACAAAACATAAATGACTTAGTTTGCATGACCATAACCAAAATACCCTACCCTCCCTAGCTCTCATCTCTGCCGCAAAATTAACTACCAAATACTCCTATACTACTAAATAGGAGTATAAAACTAATATATTACGGAGTACTATTAAAGATAAGTGTTGCAATATTGTTGACAAAAGGTCACCACTTAGAATATGAAATTTTAGTTTTCTCATTTACATGTACAACAATTTATAAGTCCTTAAAGTTGGTCATGTATATGCCAATTTGTGGCACAGTACACAGCGTTGAATGACAAAGGTTATTTAGATGAAACGAAATTATGAAATAAAAATTTCAACAAGGGGAGGACATTTTAAAAAGTACATTACATCTTAGTACAAGCAATTTTAACACAATTAAATCATACTAAAAAAAGTCATGTAATGCAACATAAAGTGATATCAAATAGTGTTTGGATCTTCCACTCATAGAATAGGATTTCTATGTGTTTGGGTGGACTATACGAGCATATGTACATATATACTAACGCCACACTGATTTCTAATTTTTTTTCCGATGAATGAAAAAAAGGTACACTTATTTATGGGACGGGATAAAATAACCAATTTCATAATTATTGTGTATCCAAAATAGCTAAGTCGAGTGAGTCAACCGAATGGGATATATAGATAGAGTAATCTATAAATAGAATTTGAACGCCAACCAAGTTGTCTAAATCTACGGAGTACAATATTCAACGTGACCATGCAAGCCCACACTCCACCATTATTACTCTTAATCGTCGTCCTCCTCTCCTCCGCCCTCTCCTCCGCCCAGGAGTTATGCAACGCCGACGACAAGAAGATACTCTTATTGGGTATCAAAGAGCACTTCAACAACGCATCCGTCTTTGCTACATGGATCCCCGACACAGACTGCTGCAAGAACTGGTCGGGAATCCAGTGCAATAATGACGGTCGCGTCATAATGTTGGGCGTGACTATTGCTGATATCGTGGGTGAGATCCCGCCCGCCATCGGAGACCTCCCGTTCCTCGAGTTCATTGCCTTATCGGGCACCCCTGGCCTCACCGGCAGAATCCCTCTCGCCGTTGCCAAGCTGTCCCACCTCAACCACTTGGACTTCAGCAACAACCAACTCTCCGGGCCCATTCCCGATTTTTTAGGCCAAATCAAGAACCTCGACGACATTGACCTTTCCTCCAACGCCTTAACCGGTTCGATCCCTGCGTCCCTTGGCCGGCTCACTAAGCTCCGTACCATGAACCTGGGATCGAACCAGCTCTCGGGCCCGATCCCGCCTTCTTTAACCGGGATCAAGAGCCTCGTCCAGCTATACCTCTACTCCAATGCCCTCTCGGGCTCGATCCCAGGCTCGTTCGCTCAACTCCCGAACCTCAACGAGCTCGACCTCCGCCAAAACCGGCTTACCGGTTCAATCCCGGCGAGCTTCAGGTTGTTCAAGAATTCCGATTTAAACATTAATCTCTCCTTCAACCGCCTCTCTGGACCTATTCCTGCCGCCTTCGGCAAGGCCAACGTCACGGTGCTCGATATCTCCAACAATAACTTCACCGGAGACGCGTCGTTCCTGTTTGGGAGAGACAAGACGGTTCTAACCGCCGTAGACCTGAGCAATAATCATTTCAAGTTCGACTTCTCCGGCGTGGACCTTCCACCGGGGCTGAAGAATCTTGATATTAGCCACAACATGATATTTGGGTCCCTGCCCGGACGGCTCGGGCAGCTGGCGTTGAAGAACATTGACGTGAGCTTTAACCAACTCTGCGGGCAGATCCCAGTTGGGCGGCGGCTGAAGCAGTTCAGTCCGGCGAAGTTTTCTAACAATAAGTGCTTATGTGGTCTGCCTTTACCTGCTTGCAAATAATGAATGAGAGAAACATACACTATTACTCATCACGTGATAACTAATGTAATCGTTGGACGTTATCTAAAATAAATTCTCATTATATTGTCTTTTTGATACAATTTGATAATAACTTATCTTATTGAATATTGAGAGATATGACCCTATATATAGGGAATACAAGAGTAATCAAAGTACAAGTAGGAATAGGAAAGAATAATCCTAGTAGGAAAGGAAAGAAGTATCCTAATTTAATTATACTTCCTAATATCCCCCCGCAAGCTGATCAACGGAGACGAGGGGCAGCTTGGAACATAAGTACTCAAAAGGAACTGGCGGAAGCGGTTTGGTAAGAATGTCTGCTAGCTGCTCTGAGGAGGAAACATGATGTGGAGTCATAGTGCCTGCCATAACCTCATCTCATACAAAGTGACAGTCTGTGCCCACATGCTTCATGCGATCATGAAGAACCGGATTTTTGGTGACACAGATAGTCGACTCATTGTCACAGTATAACTTCGGTTTGGACGGAGGAATACCTAGTGCATCAGTGATATATCGAAGCCACATAGCTTCTGCAACCCCTGCAGCCATAGCTCGATATTCAGCTTCAGTGGATGATCTAGAAACACGAGTCTGCTTTTTCGTGCACCAAGAGATG